ACATGGTGGCACACCCACAGAAAACCAGTGACGGGTAGGGACTGCTGCCGACTGGCTGTAGAGTCCAGCTTATCTATGAGTGCTAGCTAGCTCCACTGAGAGATCCTGCTTCAAAAACAAAAGGGAGCAATGAAGAAAGACACCTAACATTGACTCACTGACTTCTGGCCCGTGACCCTCCTCAACGCCACACACACACACATGGATACGCTATGCACATGCAGAAATAGTTAACTTTTCCTCTATTTTTCTCTTCCTTGCTCACTTGGCTACCTCCTTCCTGGTTACTACCCCTCCCAGGTACAAATGCAAAGCTATAAAGCGACAGTGTCATTTCCCCACCTGAAACTATTTTGGCTCTTCTCCATGACAACCCAATGTGGCCTGGAGGAAGTGGGTCAGGAGGCATGTGCCTTTCAAGGCTCTATGGTGCCGGACTCCTACTGCCTCCTGGCTTCCTGGTCTACCACACTGTCCTGAGGCCACAATCTGAGCTTATCTCATCGTGATGGGCTTGAAACCCTCTGGAGCCATGAGTCCAGACACACCTTTCCTCTGTTAAACTGTTTCTGTCAGGTATTTTGGCCACTATGATGCAAAAATAACTCAGACACCCCCCCGTTCTTTCTGCACCCCAACCACAGCCCCTCTGCCTTGAGGGCTTTCAGTTCCCAGCTGGTGCTAGAGGAAAGCAGGTGGATGAAAGAATTCCAAGCAAGAATTGGATATGATGGATGGCTGTGCAGTGGGCTCTGCAGTCGGAAGGAGCATCCCCTCCTGCTAAGATCCACCACTCGAGGATGGGCTTCAGACGCTGGGGCACAGAGCCAGGCCAGCTGCGTGGAGCTGTACGCCAGCCAAACAACTGAATGTCTGCTTTCAGGCAGTCTGAGGAACTGTTACAGTCCTCCGCCTCTGCTGTCGAAGGCCTGCCCTTCTCCTCCAGTGTCTAAGAAAGGTCATTGGGAGAAAGATTCTTTAGTTCTAGCATTCCACATTTGATACCAAATCTTTGGGTGAGAGCCTTAGTGGATTGTGCCTGCTTCCTCCATCAGCCTTGTTCAAAAGTCTCAGAACCCTAAAGGAAATCTACCCAATGGGGACCCCTTCTCTATCAACTTCATAATAAGCATCGTTATCATTTAACCTAGAACATACATTAACTATCTTTTTGCCTTCCCTGCGTATCATCTGCGAGTTCTCTCTCTCTCTCTCTCTCTCTCTCTCTCTATCTATCTCTATCTCTCTCTCTCTCTCTCTCTTCGCACCTTGGCTTGGATGCAGGCTCCTCAGGAGTGGCAGGCTTGGTGAGGCCAAGGCTGTCTAGCCAAGCTGTTTCCCAGCTTTGCCACACGTGGTTTCTTTCAGGATGGTGTAGAAGCACTCACAGTATTGTTGTTTCCAGGGCTCAGTTTCATGTGGGCTGTAAGATTTTTTGTAAAAGGACATGGACCAGCCAGTCTTGTTGAGATCCACTCTGTTTCTGGAGTTCCCACCATAGAAGAATGTCTAGTGCTCAAAGAAAGTAACGGGCACCTGCATTTATACACATAAATATCCAGGCAGGAAAGTTCAGCTTGAACACCCTCTGAATAAACACACTGTTTTTCCCTCAAGTTTTGGTCAGAAAGACTCCATGAATGGTCTGGTGTCATAGCAAGAGACCAACTGCTCAGAGTATCCCATATGGTCCTATGGTTCATATGATCTCACATATTCAGACCTACAAAAGCACACCTGCTCCAGAATGTCGTCGTTCCCTTCCAGTCCCAGGTCAATGCCCGCTACTGTGCCCAGCTTCATCTGGGCTCAATGCCAATAAACCCCCTGTGCTGGGACTCTTCCGAGATTACATCCCCGTCTTTGGAGTCTGAGCTTACTGACACACTCTGGCCACTCCCTGGGACTTTCACGGGAGCCTGTGGTGTCAGTGCCTGTGGGCCACAGGGGAGGGCGGGCCTTACAAAGAGCCTCATGTCCCCTGGGTAAGATTTCTTGAAGCAGAACATGATGTTCTTGCCACCCCCAGGAGCTAAAATACTTTTTAAGAGTGCTGCACTTCGCGCCGAGTGCCCAAATACCACAAGCGCTACTCAAGTTCAATGTTACATAACCCGGGCACGCCAAAGGCCACGTGCGTGTGGACAGACTCTGCTCGGGCTCCTCCTCCACCTGAGGTGTTTGGCAAGCACCTCTCCCCTCCATAGCAAACTGTTTGCAGGTTTCAACACAGGCAGAACTCTCATAGATGGAGGGAAAGGGCCTTTTTTATCTTAATGGTGCTTATGCAAGGGACTATTCACTCTCAGTCAGCAACGCTGTGAAGGGGCAGTTGATACAGACGCCAAAAATCCTGTGTGCTGGGACACGGGCTGCCATTTGCCAACTATGCTCACAGGTTACCCTGAAGTGATGAGGCTCTTCCCGGAAACCGGCAGCGAGTCACCTCGTTCTGTAAATGAGTTTCTGGAACCTACAACTGTCCTTTCAGTCATTATTTCCTTTTTTTCCCCAGACAGGATTTCTCTGTGTAGCCGTGGCTGTCCTGGACTTGCTTTGTAGACCAGGCTGGCCTCGAACTCAAGAGATCCACCTGCCTCTGCCTCCGTGAGTGCTGGGATGGCAGGCATGCGCCATTGCGCCGGGCTTATTTTTGAACATTCTAAAGCATTGCTTTAACTCACACGGGACCCAGAATGGCTAACTCCAGTTTACACAGGTACGTAATGCCAGTGCGGATCTAGAACCTCTTTACAGACTAGTTCAAACTAGAGTTAGAAATTCTCCCTTCTGCTGGTGGAAAGTTGGGATTTTAGTAGTTCTGCCAGGGCAAACGTTAGCAGCTCCAGGCAGTAGGTTGGATCTTTACCCCACATCCCCGTCCATCTGAGTATGTGTACACCGTCTGTTATTGGTTGGCTTTTAAAGTGGACTGCGACACTCCAGAGATGCGGTTTCAGGAGCAGGTGCTCATGTACGGGGGATGGGCTTAGAATTCGGGGGACTTCTCTTCTGCTGCATTTGTTGGAAGCGAATACGGACGGAGGATAGAGCAACCCTTTGCCATTTCCCTCGCCCTGCAGCTCTGTGCTGGGCTCACTGGGGCAGCTCATGCTGCCTGACCTGGCAGACCCAGGAAGGGGCCAGGTGTGGGGAAGGTGGGCTCTCCAGAGCAGGCCTTTGGGGCACTCTGACTCAGCTATGTTGAGAAGCCCACTTCTAGCGGGCCTTCAAAGCCTCAGGGTCGGCTTTGAGAAAATCCTGCTGGTGATCAGGGATTTCTCCTCCTCGGAGGGTTCCCAAGAATGGGGGTGGGGGGAAAGAATTAAGTGATTCATTCCTGACATCTGATACTCCTTTCAAATCCTCCCGCTCTGACCCACTTCTGTGGCTGCGAGCAAGCCACCCCATCTGCGATGAGGTCATCTTCTTGGGGGCACACAGGATTCCAGGGGGAGCACCCACCATAGACTGGCTATTCACAGCGCTCCTTCCTCCCGGCTGCTCCAAACTAACAATGAACCTTCTCAGCAGTTCATGTGCTTTCAAGGGAGACTTTCTAGGGTTAGATGTCTTTCAGCGCAGACCCCACGGGCACACACTGCAGCTATTATTACGTTCCTGGCTCTAATGAGGGCCTGGGAACAGCTCTCAGCGGCCTATAATTATGTACATTTAATAATAAATGCACACCCTTCTTAGGTAGTGTGAGAAGTGAAAACAAGGCTGCTTTCGCCTCCCTCATCATCTTCCCCTTTTACAAATAAGAACACACAGAAGTCTATTTTCTCTTTCAAATAACAATCGCAGAGGATGTCTGGCTAGTGGGAAAGGGAAACTTAATTACTGGAGAACATTCTTTCCATGTTTCAAAAAGAATGGCTCTGCTTACTCAGGTTGTTCTGTGTGCAGGGTCTGTGAAGGGCCGCCTCCTTGAGCTACTTTTGTATGCTCTTTCCAAAGGCTGCCAGTGACCTTGGGGCCAAGCTGCCCCTTGATGGGTGTTTCCTCAGGTCACTGCTGTTCCCAGGAAGAAAGGCGCTGTTTCACGATTCTTCCCAGAAGTGTCCCAGGCCCTAGTCCCCACACCTCTGAGTGCCTGAAAGCACCCGGTCAGTGAGGATAAATCAAAGTGAAGAAGATGGCTCTATGAAGTGAAGGCAAATTGCAAGAGAGAAGTACTGGAAGAAAGGAAGGGAGGCAGTGGGAGCCCTCCATTGATGCCAGGGAGTAGCAGTGGGGTGAGGGGCTCACCAAGGCACGTGTAGGTGAGGAGGGCCTCCGGCTTTGCCCACCTGCCTGTGCCTGCGGACCTCTCTAAGGCTCCATATCTTCATGTGTAAAGGAATAGTTCCACGAATAACATAACGTCTGTGGTCAGGACTCTGTGACGAGTCTTCTGAATGGCACTTTGTGAGCTTGTGCCCATCTTACAGGCCATGAGAACTGAACTGACGCAATGCGCAGAACCTTTTCATGTACTCCCAATGTGCAGGGAATCACCCGCAACTGTGGATGCTGATAATGAGTCACGCGATTACGTTTTTTGAAGGCACTTACTGAGTTGGAACTTGGTGTATTTGGGGATAGTCAAGCACCCAGAGTAAGCACATGACTAGAAAAACAAACCACTCGAATTCCTTGGATGGTGACACCAGATTGGGAAGCTTTTATCTGACAGTAAGAAATGGGTGATATTTTCTCTGTCCTATAACTAAATAAAATGAATCTACAGGCCTGTACAGTGACACATGGCTAGGGTAAGATCAAGACTGAGTTTTCAGCTTACAGGAAGCACACACACAACGGTAGCCTCAGCCCTTCTGACTCCACTGCCAGCTGAGAAGGGGAGCAGTTTATTAGATCGCTTGAGAGAGAGTTCTGTTGGAATATGAGATTTTTAAGGATGTGAGGAGGTACTCTCGGAAAGACAAGAGAATTGGGCTGAGAGGAAAAGTATGCTTTTCCTTAGTTAAACCTAAAGAGATCTCCAGGCAACATTCAGTCAAACACACTTCTTTGAACTTTGTGTACCTTGTCCAAGTAGCATCTCCCACTTTCAGTGCTGTGATTTGGACAGCAAAGTATATTCCATTGTACAACTCTGGGGAAGGGCAAAATGCAAGCTGCAGGGAACCCGAGGCAGGGTAGCCTCACCCTTCAGGGTGGGCAGGACATCTGTTCTTTACCATCTCAAAGCTGTTCAGAAGCCATGTGGGAGAGCAAGCGCCCCAAGGAGAGTTTTCGGTCAAGAGAATGGGTTAGTGAGAGAATCAAACACTTTATAAAGACTGCTGTCCAAATACTTTCCTGTGGGTTAACTGCTGTAAAATTGTTGTTTGCTGGGCAAGACACATTGCAGAGAGTAAAAATAACTATAGACAGGAGCATGGTGGGTGGGGCTGGCAGACCTGTCCCTTCGTGGCAGACTACGGGCTTAGAGGCTCCGTTTTCTGGAATGGCATCTGGTGGCAGATGACATATTAAGGCAAAAGTGGGTATTTTTTTTTTTTTTTATCCTTTGAGTTTGAAACCAGACCAAGCCCTCCAGTTCCTGTACCTACTTCCTTCAACCCTGACCTTTTAAGAAATGCAGGTCAACCCGTTTCCTCCAACCCATCCAGAGTACATTTCCATTCACAAGTCTGCTGGCTGCTGGACAGCAGCGTCCAGCCGCCACACAGGTCAGCTCGGCTGGTGTCTTTTCAGAGTTCTCTCTGCTTTCATCTTGCTTCCAGTCCCGGGATGGGGAAGGGCCCTTCTTAGATACTGGACAGCATGGTGGAGGTGAAGATCTGTTGTAAAATCTGAGGTATCTTCTTGGTGTCCATAGCAATGAAAGAGCGGCCAGCTGGCAGAGTTCTCTGAAGCCTGCCAGAGGGAAGGGAAGGAAGGAAGTCACCATTGCAAACCAAGGCTCTATTCCAGTGGCTGCCCCTGGCCAGCGCAGTGTCAGAATGTGTTCTTAGGACGTTTTCACTTTCTCATACCTTGCCTGAACTTGAATTGGCTGTCACTGAGTAATGGAAGGCCTGGGAAAGCATCAGGGGAAAGCAGGGAGGCGAGAGGAAGAGCTTTTCAGTGAGAAAACGAGTGCTTTTGAAGTTCTATGTTTCCTGAAATGTTATATTCCCTTGACAGGACAGTGCCCCAGGGCCCCATCTGGAATTAGCTCACCTGCATCTGGCCAAGTGTGCTGGCCTCAGAGCGTACTTGTAAAAGCCTCCCCCCTTTTTTAGAGAACAGGCCTCCAACCCACTGCACTGCCAAGTCCCCAAGTGGCTCTCTCGCTCCTCCCCATCACACAATGTGAAATGCAATCTGCATTATCCAACGGCCACTTTGACGATACTGAGGTTGAACAGACTTACAGTAACTTAAAAAAAAAAAAAGTCAATTTTTCATTTGGAACAAAAGGCCATCTTTGAAGGCAATAAGAAGGCAAGACACAGATGTATTGAAAAGAACGGTGCCTTTCATTGTGCCAACAAAGTTTGGTTTTGGAATGACATTTAATAAAAATCAGGCGTTCTGTGCAGTATCGTGTATTTGGCATGCCGGGCAGGCCAGCTTTTTGCCAGTGAATGTTGGACCTTTTCCCCAGGAAACCACAAGGGTATTATTGTGCTTTCTTAAGTATTCCAACAGGATCTGTTCACTAGAAAGGGAAAAAAAAATTGCTCCTTTCAGTCCAGCCAGCAATGTTGAGCTTGCCGTCTGCCTAGCGCTGGTGCTGGGGAAATGTGGACAGAAAGGCTTCAAGAACGGAAGGTCCCAGAAAACGAGACGTGCGTGTGATCAGCTGCGCTAAGTGACCACGAGCCCACTGTGGAAGCTGCGGACCCATGGGGCTGAAAACTCCTTTCTGCGAGCTTGTGCCACAGAGCAAAGCATGCAGAAGAGGCGGAAGCAAAGGCAGGCCATCCATTTGTATATTTTTCCCTGAGATACACTTTCAGTTGTGTTTTCTGCCTTTTGTGAGTATTTTAGGCAGAGAGAAAAAGAACATGAATGCTTCCTGTCAGTGTGTTTAAGTTATGGAGAGTGTTTCCTGGCTTCTCCTCTTGGTCAGGCACTTATTGTCTGACTATAAACTCATACAGTTACATGCTATAGTGAGCAGACTGCATGGTAACTACACGTACATACACACGTGTCTATATGCAGGCATATACGTATATGCTTGCATACACACACATGTCTGTACACACCGTCACTTATGAGAGTTTGTTTATAGGGATATGTATATACATATATGTCTGTGTGCACGCATGTGAACATGCGTATGTGAGTCTTCGTATGTCTGTGGTAGTTTGAGTGAGGCTGGCCCCCATAGGCTCATATGTTTACAGGCTTAGTCCTCAGTGGGTGAACTGTTTGGGAAGGATTAGGAGGTGTGGCCTTGTTGGAGGAAGTGTGCCAATGGGGGTGGGCTTTGAAGTTTCAAAAATCCATGCCAGGCCCAGGGCGTCTCTCTCCGCCTACTGCCAGTAGGTCACGATGTAAAACTCTCACTACTGCTCCTGCGCAATGCCTGTCTGCTTCCTACCATGGTGATCAGAGACTAACACTGACACTGTACACAGCCCCCAGTTAAATGCTTTCTTTATTTAAAAGCTCCCTTGGCCATACTGTCCCTGCATAGTGACAGAAGAGTGCCTGAGACAATGTCTTTTTACACACCAAATAGACACGCATTGCATGCAGACGAGTGCAGTTTCTGTTACTGCTAGGGAATTATTGCTGGTTTCCTTTGTTTTTTATTTTTGACACTTCTTGGGATTGATCCTGGGGCCTCACACATGCTAGGCAAGTGTTCCACCTACCCCTGAGCTACAGCACCAACTCTATATTTATTATTTTTGAGTATGATTTGAACACAAACTGATGAGAGTGGGCTGGGGGGGTGTCTCTGTAAAGTACCTAATATATAAAATACTATCTAACCTATTAGTGGATAAATCAATTTGGTAATTATTTATTTTATAAGAACAATTAAAATGATAAATTCTGGTCCAAAAAAAACTGTAGAGCATCACGCTCATCAAAACTACAACTTCCTGCCCAAACCAGCCAGGGCATTGTGCATCCTAAATGTGACATTAGCTGCTTGAGGGTAGACACTCTAGACCCTGTTGTAGCTGCCCTTCCCAGCCCTCAGGGTGAGGTCTGAAGAATGACATGCCAGATATTATCATATCCAGCCTCTGTCGAGACAGCAACAACGCTTACCTGGCTGCCTGATCCCCCAAAGAGCCGATAAAGATGGCAAAGGCATTTACTTGAGGGTCGCTTGTCAGGATCTGGGCAAAGCGGGCTGGGTTTATCCCATATCGGGATAGATTTGCATCACTCAAGATGATGACAAAGTACTCATCAGCGTCTTCTTTGGTGATGTCCTTGATGGCGTGTTCTGTCCCCTCGAGCGTGTGGTCCCCACTCATGCAAAACTGAGAGTGGGCATGCATTGTCTGGAGGTAAGAGTTGGGGCACAAGAGCCATGGTGAGCAACTCCTTTCAACACACATGATGATTTTTCTATGACAGACCGTCTGCCTTTTGATCTACATCCTGAGTGACAGCAGCACACAGTGATAGGTGTGTGGAGTTGACTTTCCTTCGAACAGGCAATGTTGGGCTGGAGAGATGGCTCAGTGTGTAAGCACACGGGCTTCTCTTTCAGAGGTCCTGAGTTCAATTCCCAGCAACCACATGGTCACTCACAACCACCTATAATGTGATCTGATGCTCTCTTCTGGCATGCAGGTGTACAGGCAGGTAGAGCACTCAAATGAATAAATAAGTAAACCTTTATATCAGCTGAGCATGGTGGCACAAGCCTTTAATCCCAGCACTCAGAGAGGCAGAGGCAGGTGGCTTGTTTTGAGTTCAAAGCCAACCTAGTCTACAAAAGCAAGCCTAGGACAGCCAAGCCTACACAGAGAAACCCTGTATTGAAAAGCCAAAAGAAGAAAAAAGAGATGGGTAATGTTTCCAACTGACACTTTTACAACTCAGCTTTCTATTTAAAATAAGAAAATATGTAAGTTGGCATCACCCCAGAGAGAAGCAAGATGCAGGAGAGAAATAAGGAATGGGTTGAATTTCCAGTAAACAAGTCAATTGGTGATGTGGAACACTGTTTCCAGTGGTAAAAGAGAAAATCTGTTTTAAGATCATGATGTCTACTGTAGATTTAAGTTTGTGAAAGTGAATTTACCATTCAAAATTATAAGAAAAATATACAATTTGGAATACAGAGTACCCAAGAAACCCAAGGTCATTCTTTCCTTTCTACTGAGCATGTCTTACTGTAAAGAATTCTGATCATAGATGCTCAAACCCAACAGAACACTGAGTGCTCTGAACACACGCAGGGAAAACATGGATTTAGATGATAGAAAAGGGATTTTAAGCAGGAAAGGTGGTTTCTATTCAGTGCTTGAAAGAATATGAGATTCAGTGCTTTGTCAGTGAATCCTAGCTTCTATCTAATCTGATAGAAATTCTCATAATGGAGAAGGAGCAATGCATGTTTTTACCTTTAGAACTTCTAGTCTCTGCTTATTGTCCTTGGGGATTTTGTTAACCGGAACGATCTTGATGTTGTAGCCATCTCCCGAGTGTCCAGCGATGTCGTACTGCATGCAAGAGAGTTGGAGAGTTAGGAAGTCGGTGAGGAACAGAATGATCATTGGTCCTATGGATTCCCAGCTCTGGACTTTTCCGTGTTCAACATGTGTCCATAGAGCAACACAGAGAGACAAAAGAGGCAGATGTGTGCTAGCAACAAAGGTAAACAAATTTTGGACTCATTCTGTTTGGGTCCACCACCTTCTGAAAGAGGTAGAAAGTATGATGAGAACTCAGAGGCTACCCCAAGCTTTATGTGGATGTTTCAAGGGACACTTTGTAAGAGGCACACACATGATATTAGACAGACTTCAAAGGGCTCTCAGTAATCCAGCCTTCATGTGCAGGCTCTCTACACAATCCCCATAACTGTGGTCCTGTCTGTTAAACTTGACAGGATAGCACTTATGATTACATTAACTTTCATGATAAAGGGGATTCAGCTGATGCAATTACGTTTACTTGAATGTGAGTTAATAAAAAGTTATCTAGTGGGGCTAACCTATTCACACAGTGCTCTTTCAAAGCAGCTTTTTCCTAGAAAGTTAGAAAAAAAGCCTTAGGGGGATCTGACATGAAGGCGTTAACTATGATGGAGATGGAGCGGGGGACCATCAGTGGTCTCCAGAGGCTAGGAGCCAGCAGGAAATTGGGGACCTCCGTCCATGATTCTGAGCAACTCAAGTCTACCAACAAGGTTAGCCTGAAGCAGACCCTTCCCCAGAGCCCCACAGAGAACGAGTATACATGGCTAGTTTTCTTCTATTTCTAAAGGTAAAACATACTTGCAGAAGTTAAAGTACAGAAGGCCAACGCTATCTACAGTCATGTGCAAGTTAACCTCTGAAGATGCTGTGTGATAGATGCTCTTGGCCATTTAGTTCTTTCTAACAGACACACCAAGCTGCACAGTCACAGACATACCAGCCTCAGCATGACTTTTGGCTGATATTGGCCATGTGACCACACAATCTGCTTTTCCACTTATTAATATGTCATCTATCTTTCAACGTAGCAAGCTCTTTTTAATTCTGTATTTTTTGGGCACACAAGACAGTCCTGACTGTTGAGAAGAGGCCAAAGTTGGAAGTCTGGTGCCCCTCTACAAAATTTGCAAAGAAGCCAGAGGTAAACTGGGTGAGGTCAGTCTCTCCTACTGTCCCTCTCACCCTCCCACCTCTATTTGAGACATTTTGTGATGACATGAAGGTCAGGACACTGGGGCAACAGAGGTATCTGCAAGGAAAATGGTGTGCGTCTGGGGACGAAAACTTCAGGGAACATTTGGGATATCTGCTAATCCGGTATTGATCAATAGCTGTTCTCCAAACTCCTGTACATCCTGTACTAGGTGTTATAGGGGACTGGCTCCTGTAAACCAAACCTCTGCCCATCTGTGCCTTTGCAGATGGTAAGTCCTTATGTGCTCATCTCTGCTCAGTTAGTTTCTGTGCGTAGATACCAGAGAAATGCTCTCAGAGACCTCGCAATCAACTTGGAGCAAGAGGCAGCTTGCCTTTTGTTGGGCTATATTATTTTATAAACAATCTAGAAAGCAGAATGCCATTTTTCCCTAAGCCAGATGACAAATGCAATCTAACATATTGAGGCTGGTGGCCACGTCTGAAATGGGAAGTAGAAAGATTCCTGGTGAAAGTGCCTGGCTCCCTCCATTAAAAACAGGAAGTGGATGGAGTTATCTGGGAAAGATGAACTCCACTTTGGAGGGGCCCACATTGTGTAATGAGGAGACGAGGCTTGCAGGAAAGACCTAGCACTCATCCCCAGGAGGAGGACATACCGGGGCTCTATATAGTATGTCTACACCTTGGAAAACTATAAATCTGGCTACAAATTTCCAGATTAAACATGCTCTTATATCCTACTTTGATGTTACATCTTAATGATCTGTGAACCAGGGACAAATTATGAGTATGTGGCTTCCTTAAAGCTTCTGGAACATCGCAATGTGGGGAGAGTTCTTGCCTCTGGTCCAGCCTGGCTGCTCCTCAGACCGCTAGGAAGGCAGACCTAAGAAAGGCCCACATGGAGAGCAGAGGTGGATCATTCATCAGTGTCGTTAGGCCCTGTGAGAAGACCTGGCCCCTCGGTCCATGTGCACCTCCCCTGGGAGGGCTTGGCCAGAGGAGCACTAGAGCAGGGCTGAGAGGTTGCTGTATGCCTGCCCTCCTTTTGTAGTACTGGCGACTGAACCCAGGGCCTCAAGTACACCAGGCAAGTGCTTTTCTATCTCCAGGCCTCTTTTTATTTTGAGAAAGGGTCTTACTAAGTCTTCCAGGTTAGCCTTGAACTCACTGTGTATCCTAGGTGGCTCTTGAACCTGCAAAGCTCCTGCCTCAGTAGGTGGACACAGGCCTATCCCATCAGGCTGCTTTTATGATGTGCCGCTGAAGTAGCTATAAAAGAGGCACCTCCACAGAGGACGAAGCAGATTCCCGTGTGCACTGAGTTAAGAGGACTGAATGACTCAGCCCTTTCCTCCCTTTTAAGGGATGTCTGGGAATCCTAACAATCAGATGATAATGGATGCGAATGAGTAGGCCTTTGCCCTTGTATCTCAACATGTTTAAAAACAGTAATACGCTTATCCTTAAAACTGTCTGAGTTCACGAGAAACATACATGAACGAACTCTGTTACTACTTGTGTGAGGTTATGTAGCCTAGGCTTGCTTCAAACTCATGATCCCTCTGCCTCAGCCATGCAGTTCTAGGACAACAGGAGTGTGGTATTACAACTAGCTGGTCTCATTTGTTTTTATTTTCTAACTCTTGACCCTGCCATTCACCCAGGCTGGGCCCTGCAGGGACCATCATGTAATCAGCTGGGAGAGGCCACACACGCTTCCACAGAGCGGCACAGGACTTAAACAACAGCCTCATTGTCCCTGTCAACCACTGACATTTAGGCTGCAATTTTTCTATGGGGCTTACAAAGTATCCTGGAAATCTCTGGAGTTTTGCTTTTAGCATTCAGCATAAATATTAAATGACAGCTGTTTAGAAACCCCCAAACAGAGAAAGAGCCTTCTCTAATGCTTCTTTGCTCTACAATTTGGTTAGATTCCCCTTAGCTGGTTTGTTTTGAAAACCTCACTCCTTTAGAGGAAGGCATAACAAAGAAAAAGAGTCTCAATCAAGACAGGAATTTACCATCCAGTAGGAATTTAAAGCAGGATGTAAAGGAAGCTTCTTAAAATACAGAGCTATTGGCACATTTATGAATACGATGGAGGCTTCACCTTCTATTAGGAAGGAGTATCATGTGCTGGTTTGGGGATAGGTTATGCTTTATTAGGCTTCTGATTGTAAGTTGGTATGTGGGAATCTTCCGAGGCTGTTGTGAACAAGACATATGAATTCTGTGTTCTAAAATCTAAATGCACCATTCTAAAATGGCACTACTGTGGCCAGCAAGGAGTTAGATGAATGAGTGATAGCAAAGGTCTAGGGAGGTGCTAGCAGAGCCCTAGGGCATATGTGAGTTACTAATCTACTGTAACCAGTTAGCCCTCTTCCTGTCATGGAAGTCAGCATAAAGAGTGTTCTTAAAGTCAAGGTGAGACATGGCTTGGACTTGATAACAAGCCTTTTGATTTAGGGCAAGGTGCTTAGCCTTTCCAAACCTTCTGCTACCTTGGAAGTGATGCTAGTGTAGAGGACCTCTAATGGCACATGCTTGTGAATCACTTGTCCTGTCTGACAGATCATATCTGTTTGACCATGTCCCAGAGTCATGGAAGGACAGCACAATCCATTTAGTGATGACGATGGTCAATCTTATTTTGTCCTCACAGGCACAGCATCTTTATAAGCTCATCTCTGATTCTGTGAACTAGCTCTGCTGTAGGTGCTAACACTGATGCTAGGAAGGACCATCAGCCTTTCCTGAGACAGACTTTAGCATTGGCTCTCTATTCCTTTGTCTGACTCTTCATGTTACTACAGAGAAAGGTGAGTCCTCAAGCTATTGCTCCATCTCTTAAGCTTTTTGTTTTCATGGCTAATATTTCTACTGAGCCAATTCTGAATGGACTCAGCAAATTTTGTATACTTTTTTTGGGAGTCCTCTCTCTGAGTAATAGTACGAGTATATTCAAAGCCTAAGACCGATAGGATGACTGGTCTCCTTCTTTAAACTCAAGGAACATTCTTAAGGCATTGGGAAAGTGGTAATTACAGACACTCAGCTAAGTGTCTCTCTCTGAGTCATGCCTTTCTATAGCCTTCTGGGAAGTAATGGAGCCTTCCTCACAAAGATACCTTCAAAGAAACCATCATATCATACCGCCTTTACATGGTGGGATACAAAGACTAGGAGATTACAGAATATGTTTACTTTTGAATGAATTTTTGAAAATACCGATTTGGCATAAGTTGGGCATAAATAAAGCAGATCCAAGAAACAAGATAGAACAAGTAAGAAATAAATATCCCCAATGTGGGGCTAGAAGCCCTGGCATTTCACTGTCTAGCAGTGTGACCTTGGGTCAAGTATTTAACCTCTTTGAGTCTTAGTTTTCTGTAGAAAGAGGTTGGTGAAGATTATTGCCAGCCACGAGGTTCTATGACAATTTAATACTCAAGAAATGGAATGAAAAGCTGGCTTCTCCTTATTTGAGGAGCACACATGTCTTGTAGTCTCCTGTCAAAGGGGGTGTGTGTGTGTGATTTATACACTTGAAGTGAGGACCAAGGACACCTTCTACAGAGGGAAGGACTTCTGAATTGGTAAGAAGCAAGAGTCCAGTATGGTCCTAGAACAGTGGGTTTCTTTTTCAACATTCTCACCCACCCACCCCTGCGCGTCGTCTTTTGTAGTGTTAAGGCTAGAACCTCAGGCCTTGTTCAGGCCATGAGGTCTGGTTAGAGTTTATCATTATCCTAGGAAGATAGAACCTCTGTAGCTCAGCCTGGTCTGTGAGACATTGTCCTGACTGATGAGAGAGGTGACTCCACTGTAGATGACTCCATACCTAGAAGGGTGGACCTGGGCTCTATAGGGAAGCTGAGCATGGGCCAGTGAGCAGCGTTACTCCCTGGCTTCTGTCCCGACTTCCCCGAGTGGAGAGGGACCTGGAAATGTACGCCGAGTAAGCTTTACTCCCTAAAGTGCTCCTGGACCTGGTGTTTGTTACAGCATCAAGAGGAAACTAGAACACTGGGCATTCTCTTTACTGCCAAAGCTGCATCCCTAGGCCATCACAGTGCTTTTCTAACTCTTTCTTGCATTAAAAAAAAAAAAAAAAAGATTTTTTTAAGCAACGGAATCCTTTCTCCAAATGAATTTGTATGAAGGCCATGTTATGCAGCATTGTGCAGCAGCACTGGAAGGGGCCGCTGTTTTACTAGTGCTGAGAGAGTTGGGGCGGAGCCTGCCTACTCCCCTAACCTCACCCACTCCCCACAGGCTTCCTTTTCCATGGCTCATCTCAGAGCATAACTTACATGCCTTCATAGAAATAAAGTAATACATTTTACGTTCTTTGTCTCTCCAAAGCCCAGTTTCTGAATGAGAAGAACCCATGTTCTGGCACCATTGTTTGAATCCTTAGTGGAAAGATGGTCACCAAACTCTTTGGTGTTACTGAGTACTTTGAAGAAACCTCAGGGCATTACAAGCTTTTATGAAGAAAGTCTATTAAGATGACAATGAAAATGCCCAGGAGCTTGGAGAAGAGAGCAAACTGGAATGAAGGTCAAGGAGAAGAAAACAAAACGGCTCGTGTAACCGTTTGCTGTGTATACGGTGGGGACGACTGCCAGTAACTCGTGCTCTTTGGGAGTATGTGCAGGCAGGCGGCTGAACACTTTTAGGGACTTGAAAGACTCCAAGTGGCTTAGCAAATGTCCTGCTGCTGAATTACCTTTCTGTCTCAGTAACTCACGCTTGAAGGTCCCTGTGGTTTGGCATGCATTGTGCTAATGTGGAATAAAAGCAGAGGCGGGCTCTACGTGAGGCTACCAGAACAGACTGTAATGACCCACAAGTCAGCATGGAGCTCTAGCCAAACACAACACAAGCAGATGCCAAGAGGGATGGGCAACATGCGGACCACCACACCAGGGGGCTCTTCTGCATGCTGCAAAGCAGAGTGGATACCCTCACAGCCCAGGGCTAGCTGCGGGAAGACTGTCTGGAACTGGGGTAGGAGCGTTAGAGCACACTCATTCCCGCAGCCACCGTGTGATGTCATCCTGGGTACCCCACATACCATCATCTGCTCACTAGTCATTAGTTTATATTTTCCAAGCAAGTTACGGCCCCTCAGGAGTTCCTGCTAGTGGACCTTACTCTTCTTTCATAAACAAGAAATTGAAAGCACAGACAGATTAAGTGGCTAGGAAAAATGATGACATTATGATGAATAATTATGAAATATCAAATGTTTCTAAAAAGATCAAAAGTTCAATGATGCAGCTGGAATCAGAGAGGGAACAGATGGACTTTCAATTCCTCACCCTTCTGCCTTCAGACTACGTGTACCTCATCCTCATGTACCCTCAAGCACCTAATTAGAAAAGGCTCTCATAGCATATTGGACACATTCCTCTTCTGGCCTCTACAGAGGGCCCTGGAAAGCCCTCGCAGAGACTGGGTGACCTGTGGCCAATCGAATCTCAGGCAGGGTGGTGGCTATATGCAAGCATGGAGGGAAGACCTGGAAAGAGTATATGAAAAAGGGGTGGTGGTGATGGGGCAGGTTCAAACCCAACGGCTTTTGAACATTAGGTGAGATGTGGTTATTTACGGCTGTCTTGACTACCCATTGGCCATCAGTGATCAAATGACTTAAATAAACATTTTTTCTTTTCAAGACAAGGTTTCTCTGTGTAGCCTTGGCTGTCCTAGACTTGCTTTGTAGGCTAAAGTGGCCTCAAACTCAGATCTGCCTGCCTCTCTGAGTACTATAAATAAGCATTTTCTATAAAAAAGAAATCAAGATGCAATCACATATTCGATACAGGAGGGTCAAGAGATGGGAAGGTTGACAATCCTCAGTGCAGACAAAGCAGGTTCTGCTTCGTTTGCTCCAACAGGAGTATGCTTTAAAGGGCTGATCTCCTCTCACTCCACACAAGGACATTCTTTGTCTTACAAGCTGCATGCTATTCAGGAGCAGAAAGTCTCTTCCCAGATCTCTCTCCAAGTGCCCCATCCTCATCCTGTTAGGGGGAAACCTTTGATTTGGGCTCTGGGGTTCCTGGCAACTCTTAACAGAGCCAAAGGGGGGACTCTTTAACAGTTCCATGGTTCTCAGTGGCTACGGGGGCTAGAACTCCTGTTGTGAAGGGAAGCAGAGCTCCTTCTCACCTAAGCTATGTATTACACACATCTGAACCCCTGTACTGTGAACAGTCTTGCAGCCCCACAGTATTCAACTGCTGGAGGCTGTTCATTCCTCACCACGTAGCTCTAAAGGCCTTTCTCCCAGTGGGCTGCGTCCTTCACGGGGAGCCTAAGTAAAATGACAAGTCAATTTGTTCGTGGCATAATACAGAGTCACGGCATGCGATGCAATCTTAAGGTACAGGTAGGGTGCCAGGCTGCGTGACAACTGGCTTGAGATCGTGTGTTCCTCAAGGGTTCATGCAGCACAGAACTGGAGTTCCTAGGCATAGGCTGTGTGTCCTTCCCAATGTCCGCACAACACGTCTCTCCCGGCATAAGCTGATGCTCAGGCGATCCACTGCGATGCCAGTCCTGTCACAAGCAGATGAATCGGCTCGTATTGGCTGGCAACACAGCATCGTGCAGATGCCCTCGCCATACTCAAACCTCTGAGATGGGGGACTTAACAAAAAAAATGAACAATAAAAAGCTGGAAATGGTTTAAACAGAAGGCAGCTTTTTCCCAGGGGTGCATGTTTTTGTCAGCTGGAGACTCCTATTATCATCTAGACACTGAATGTGGGAAGGGAAAGGGGAGCAGTGAACAGACTGTTGCCCGGTTGGGCACAGACCCTGGGTGATGGGGTGTCAGTTCTAGAGACACTAGGTTGAGGATGCCCAGGGAAATGACAACAGACTTCGGTGGTTCTAGGAGATGCTGGGGTTTACCCTCACACACCCGGCACGTTGTGAGCTTTTCTCCGTGGAACCAGAGCTTATCGGGCCCTTCAATTATGTTACTGTTAGAATGGGAGGGCAGTGGGCCACTCTCTCTGTTGGCGGAGGATAGTGCCATGGACTCTGCACCCACCTCTTGGCTGCTGACCCTAGACGATCAGTGGAGCTCTAGATCCCTATGTTGTGCCATTACCTTGAACTTCTCCTCGTAGTTCTCAAAGGCTTCCATGACCATGCACACCGCCTCCATGGAGCGCTCCAGCCGGCCATCCACCCCGTTGAAGCGGTACATGCTGCCGGAAACATCTACCACCAGGCGCAGGCGCTTGGGCTTCTGCTGTGGGCTACCCAGCTGAGGGAGAGAATGGCAGAAAACTATGGTCAGCTGCCATCCTGGGTTCTTGACCGGGCTTTGCAGGGCCAGCCCAAGGTGCGCAGATCTGCACAGGGCTGTTCCAGCAGGTGGAGGGGATGACTGTGCCCCAGTAAGTATGTGTCAGACTGGCTGCAGGAGCACAGGCCAACGGCTTCCTCTGGAATACAGTAAAAACCACCTTCTGGAGGCTGACAACCTGAAAAGTAATAATCTGGAAGGAGAGAAGCCGGTGTTATTTGCTCTCTGCCTCAGCGCTCTCCCAACCCCGGAGAGAGCTCGGTAGTTGGAGGGGAGCCCGCATCTGCCTCACACTGTTAGGCAGTGGCTTAAGGATCATTTTCCACCTAGGCTGAAGAAAGGCCAGATGGCTAAAACACGGTTATGTGAAAGGGAGTCTGGCCAAGAACTTAAGAAAGCATTTTCAGAATGTCTCGGTTCTTTAGAGCTTTTGGGTTTTCTTCTGGTTGAAGAAGTGTTTCTTTTTTCTTTTCTTGGCAATTAGAGTGGCACTGAGCTGCTATCTGGCAAGAATTATGGATTAAAATGTGAAATCTTATGAGATCAGTTTGGGGCCCAGATCTGTCAATGTGCAAAATTTTTTAAAAAAAGTTTGTCAGTAACGATAAATAAGAAAAACTCCAGATTATTCTATGATTATATGCTTGCTGACACACATGCAAAATAATGGGCAGAACTAATAGTTTCAAGAAAATACTGTAGGGAGCTGGGGAGATGGCTCATGAGATGGCTTGGTGGGTAAGGTACTCACCATCAAACCTGACAACCTGAGTTCAATTCCCAGGACTACATGGTGGAAGGAGGGCAATGACTCCCACAAGTCGCCCTCGGACTGCCACGTGCCTGCTGTGGCATCCACAGCCCCCACACACATATAAATAAAAAATGTAAAGTGCCATAGATGTTTAGAGGATAACGGTAGGAAGTCAGTTTTATATATTCCTTTAAAACCTGGTGAGTCTGCCCCAATTAAGAGCAGTAAGGCACACATGCCTCCATGACTAACTCACAGAGTTAGTCCAAACGCTCGCTGACCACAGTGAGTCAGTAAAGAAAGCAGCTGTTGACTCATGGCAGCGACCCAGAAACAAGAACTTCCAAATGACCACAAGCTCTACTCGGGGTAAACGTTTAAAGAGTGTGACACTCATGCTCTCTCTCATTGCACCCCTGCTCTCAGTGGCCTCTCAAGACTTAGTATTTGACCATGTTGCCACAGTAAGGGGAATGCTAGTCTACAAGCAGTATGGCTTAAGGGGGAGTCCCTGTGTCCTAGAAACTGAGGGCTCCTAAAGGTCCAGGACAAGGTTTCCTTGAACAGCAGTGTCTCCCATCCCCCAATGCACAGAGTACCCATGCTGCATTGGGGCAGTGGACCTATAGGTGCACTGAGCTGGCTCTTGGCTTTCTGAAGGTTCTGATGATGGGGGCTGGTAGTATTTGCTCTCTATTTTTTTCTCTGAGGTGGGCTGGGCTGGGGTAGGAAAGTTGGCTTCCCTTCCGTTAAAGACTATAGCTCCATGAACCACTTTTTCCAGCTCTATAAATGAGCATCTTCAGGTTTTAGTGTTTACTCTGTTGATCTGCCTGGTTGGACCTCAGGTCACAGTCAGAACCCTGCTGTCAACTTCTCTAGATTTGCTTAAAGCTTACCACACCTTTGCAAATGAGCTTTGTGCTGATTTTTTTTTTTTTTTTTTTTTTTTTGAAGACAGGGTGTCTTTAGGTTGCCCTGGCTGTTCTGGAACTTGTTATGTAGATCAGGTTGGCCTCCATCTCTCAGAGCCTCTGCCTTCTGACTACTGGGATTAATAGAATGCACCATCATGCCTGGCCCTTGTATTGACTGTTTTTAATATTATCCTATTTTGTGAGTGTGGTCCATGTCTTAGTGAGACTACTTTTTTTTTTTTTCATTTATCTGTCTTACATAATGCTTTCTGTAGTTGCATATTTTAAATTAATAGTGTTTTGACACAGCTCATGAACTCAACAGAAGGCTGAACTATGTGGCTCTTAGGCTCAGGGTTCCCCATTATTTACCTGGGGTTCCAGATCACCCCGACGTTTGTAGATGGCTTTTTCTCCGGCCAGCCCATCAATGATCTTGGCGTCGTCTAGTTCTCCAGTAGCTTGGTGTCTTAGCCACTGTCTTTCTTTACCTTTGGCCTGCAATGTCACAAACAAATGCATGTGGGTCTTTTTGCACCTAGTGCTGTAGTTCTCTGACACACTTTTTGCATGAATAACAGGAAACACCCTGGGATCCTAGCAGTAAGCCACAACTCTGCAAGGGTGTAATCACATGGTCTCTGCTCGCCTTACAAGAAAGGCTTACTGAGTGTGTTTGTCAGTTCTAATTGTTTTAGCACCCAAAACAATACAAAAGAATTGCACAAAGGACATATGAGCAGGAAGACAGTATGCAAATGAGCCCCAGGGGAAAAGTTCTGGAAAAAAGATGTCTGGAAATGTAATGATAACATATTTCTTATGGATTTTCTGTCACAGTGAACCTAGAAAATTTATTAGGTAACAAAATAATCAGCTTGAACTTGTTAACAGTAACAGAGTGTGAGCCAATCTTCAGCGGTTTCCCTTCTGGACAGGAATTCTGCAGCCAAATTCCTGAGACTTAATGTGCAAGCTGAAACAGCTGAGGACTGTGGGAGCAGTCTGTGCCACACATGCATGGTTCTCTGCCTCTCAAGATCTGGAAATCCAAATTACTTTTCGAAAGCTATTTCCACAGCATGCTCTTCCATAGTAACGTACAACTATGCCAGGTAGCCCAAGAAAAGAGTTAAGAGATAAAGGACTCTGCTGGATGGTTTTATGTCCATGGAAACATATTCAGTCCTTAAGACTAGACTCAAAGCTGGAGGAGAACTTGTTGAGAGAAAGGAGTTCAGACAGAGTGGGGAAGTAGGAAGGTAGTGGGGGTGGTGGTGATATGATCAAAATACATTATGCACATGGTCAGACTGTCAAAGAATAAATATTTTTAAAGGGTAATCTTAGTATCTGTATGACTCCTTTATTGAGGTACCTGTTCAACTGTACATGTGAAAACATGCCCAACATTCTACATCATTAGGGAGCTGCAGATTAAAACAGCTATGAGATACCACTCTATGCCCAGATATGGCCAGAATCCAAAACCCTGACAACACCAAATGTGGGTGAGAATGGGATGAGAGGAAAGCTCACTGCTCGTGGAAATGCTACAGCAACTTGTGAACACAGCTTGGCTGTTTGTTGCAAAACAAAACTCACTCTCACAATCCAGCAACGGCTCGCCTTAGTATGTACACAGTAAGTAAGAAACTTGCATGTTGCAAAAATTTGTACATCATGTCTTATGCGTAACTGCAAAACCTTGGAAGCAACCAAGATGTAAATGGATAAACTGTGGTATATTCTGGCAATGGAATATTATTCAGCATAAATAAGTAAACGAACAAGAAAATTTGTAGTGATCTTGCTGTAAAAAGTGACCAGAGCAACATGGTTTCTTATTTTATATATTACTATATGGGGCTGGAAAGATGGTTCTGTGGCTAGAGTACCTAACACTCTTGCAGAGGAGTCAAGTTTAGTTTCCAGCACCCAGGTCAGATGTACACAACCACCTGAAACTCCAGCTCCAGGGGATCTGATGCCCACTTCTGGCCTCTACATGAACTGTACTCACATGCATAAACCCACAAACATACATATAATTAAAAAAATTAGTATAGTGTGATTATACTTGATTAAATAATATAAAGATATTTACTTACCAGGACCAAGATCTTAAAAATTCTCTTTAGTAGGACTGTGAGAAATCTTATTTGCCTTAGTGATCTTACAAAATGAATTTATGCATGGTGCGTCAACATTTGGACAGGCTGAAGAGGCCAGTCTGTGCTACAGGGCTACCTCATTTAAGAAAAATTTAAAAAGACATTTACCGTGAGGCACCCCTCAAGACCACAAAGTGAACCAATGTTAACTTTTTTTTTTAATTTAATTTTATTTTATGTGTATTAGTGTGAAGGAGTCAGATCCCTTGGAACTGGTGTTACAGACAGTTGTGAGCTGCCATGTGGGTGCTGGGAATTGAACCCAGGTCCCTTGGAAGAGCAGACAGTGCTTTTAACCACTGAGCCATCTTTCCAGCCCCCAATGTTAACTCTTATGTGAGTGATGTGAAATCAATTTCCAACAAAATTAGAACCTAGAATTTACAACAGGGACAAGAAGGAAATTACTAATTGTAGGTGCCATGGATCTCTGATATTGAGAGGAAGGTCCTGTAGAGTCACGTGATTCCAGAGGCTTGATACACAGCAGCGTGAGGAATTTTCCTTTCATGGTAACGATTATGACAATTCTTTTTAAACATGATAAAGGGTTCCTGCTTAGACAAAGACTACTGTTACTGCCCTTGTTAGAGAGGGTGTTTTCCTCTTAGGATATTATAATTGGTTTCTCTGGGTTGGTCATCCCATGAGAGTGTGGCAGGCTTAGTCTTAATTTTCTTGTGCTGGCATTCTTTTCCTCATGGCTGTGCTCGCTACATCCTGACGATGGAAAAGTATCACTCCTTTTTCAGGCACCTTCCTAGCTCCTCAGAGGTGATAATACAGGTGGCCTTGCTATCCCTCTAGTGTCTTCTCCCATTGTCCTCAGCCTCCAGGCCTACCCAAACATTGAGCGTTAGTCATGCTGGACCGTGTGCTCTTCTCCATGTGGCCTGGGGGCCGAGTGAGTCCTGCTCTCGGTGTTTCTTCTGTCTATGTGACTGCTTCTGTTTGTGACTGTCAGTGATGTGACAGGTCACAGCGAGTGACAGCATTTAGAAACTAGCATAGCATCTGGACAAAGAATTTGGTGTTTGAGTCTTTCCCTTCCTTTCTCTTTCTTTCTTTCTCTCTTTCTTTCTCTTTTCCTTTCTCTCTTTCTCTCTCTCTCTTTCTTCTTCACAACAGGGTTTCTTTTTCTTTTTCTTTTTCTTTTTTTTCTAGCCTGGAATTAGATATGTAGATCAGGCTGTACTGGGAGTGTCTGAAGTGCTGGGATTAAAGGTGTGAGCCCCCAAGCCCAGTTTATGGTGAATATTTTATTTAATGTTTTATTGCCTTTAAACAACTCATAGGCCTCAGATATTTGATTGATTGGTTTGTTTTTATTTGACAATCAATCAGGTAAAGGCAAGGCTTATGGTGCTTATTTCTAATCCTAGCATACCTGGGCAGAAGCAAGGGGATTGCAAATTTAAAGCCAGTTTGTATGTAGATACACAATGAATTCCAGGCCAACCTGGGCCTTGTACAACAGGGTTTCTTTAACAGCCCTAGTTGTCTTGGAACTTGCTCTGTAGACCAGGCTGGACTTGAACTCACAGAGATCTGCCTGCCTCTGCCTCCTGAGTGCTGAGATTAAAGGTGTGCCTCACCTCCACCCAGCAATGATGCTTATAAGTTAAGAAAAAAACACAAGCCTGAAGCTAGGAGCTATGCATGCCTATAATCTCAGGATTTAGGAAGCAGAAGTGGGAAGATGGCAAGTTTGAGGGCAGCCAGAGCCTCAAAAAGACTCTGCCTCCATCCCCCCTCCACCTGTATTCAATTTTAATAAAAATTTCCTAGTAACTTCATTTCTATTGGATATTATAAAAGCACTAGTCTGTGCTGAATGGAACCAAATGTATGTGGTGGGCCATCTTGCCAGTTTCCAGCCATACTTTGTTCACTCACCAAGGAAACACCATGGTTACTGGGATTACACAGAACTGTCAAAACAACTGGAGGGTTTTATTACTCAGTCACACAGGATTGGCCAAAGGAAAGAGCCAATTAGAGTCTTCTTGCTTCAGTCACAATGTGCAGTTTTATAGTTTATACAAGGCCTCGTCCACTCTTGGCCAGTAGCTATGTTTTTTAAGCAGCCTCATGACTGTGACTTGGGGATTAGAAGACCCGCCTGAAAACAATTCCCCTATGGCTTACATAAAGATTCAGCACGGGAACATGTGCAAATGTTGTGTGAGCATCAGCCTGATGGTACAAATGTCTTGTAGTCATATGGTAAAAATTACACATAGATTGAACTAATGGAGTTGGAAGAAGGTAACAGGGACCTGGCAGATAACAGGAGCCTGCCTTGGGCTCAGACACCTGCTTCATTGGTCATACCACCCCGGAAACTACACTACCAGTGTAGTCTTCAGTTTCCTTATTTATAAAATGGGGACAAAATATCCACATTCCATGGGCCTGTGATGACTGCTGACCAACTCTCACATCCTGTAGGTTTTGAAATTTGGTATCTGGTTAACAATTTGCAGATCTCTTTCATCTGGACAGTGAACTTTCCCTCAGGCTTTGGCACAGTTTAATTAGATCTCTTTAAAAAATGAACATTCAGGCTAAGAGCTCCTGATGCTTTCCCAGAAGACTGAGTCCAGTTCTGAGCGACACACCACAGTTCCAAGGGATCCAACACCCTCTTCTGGTCTCGCTGGCCACTGCATGCCCATGGCATTCATTCAGACAGACACACACGCATACATGATAATAAAATGATAATAAAAATGAAGACTCATGCTGGTTGCAGTGGTGCATGCTTGTAATCTCACTTGGGGAGGCAGAAGCAGGTCTCCGTGAGTTCTAGGCCATCCTAGTCTACAAAGCAAGTCCAGAACAAACCATTTTGGGTTAAGACAGAGGATTAAAATTGCACCACACACTCTAATATCTAGGAAAACATGATAAACATTCCTTGAAAAGAACATTTATGAATACCAAAGAGTGAATTGAAGGCAACAAAAGCTCATGGGAAGAAAATGTAAGCCTGCAGAGCTGGACAGGGCTCCACGTCCCTGACCCCTTCCCTGAGGTGAGGCTTTGCTCTTTTTGGACAAAATAATCTGATTTCATGTGTCATTTAGGGAATATGCTGAGTAGAAGTAATAAGGTCTACTTAGGAGATACTGAAGTATCTTAACATTTAAAAAAGCTGTACTGGTGCCCATTGGTCCTGAGGCATCGAGAGCATTGTGAAACAGCAAAAAGCAGGGGCAATACAGGGTAAGGGGAAGGCAGGAAGAGGAGGTGACAGAGGATATAGAGAAAGCACACTTTGCCTGATCAAATCTGTTCCTTTGCTCCGTCAGTGGCAGGAAAATGATTTGTAGGGAGAGAGTTCTATTTGTGAACTACCAGCAGAGGTGAGATGTACACAGATCTTTCTAAGGGAGTCAGGAAGTCACTGTCTGGCAGGGTTACTGGTAAGTTACTGCTTCCTGGACAGGAAGAAAGGTTAGGCCAGATGGTTCTCTCTTGGAGAACTTCACTAAGAAAATCACAGGATGAGTCCATAGTTTTATGTGTCAACCATGAAATGACTTCTTCTAATTGGCCGATTAGGGCTCAAATAACTTTCTCCAGAAGTTTTGGTTTAAATCCAGATTTTGCCCAATTATCTGTTTGTCCACAAAGAAAAGTTACCTGTAGGTTATCCAGGATGATTCGGAGGGCGAGCACCTGCCGTTGAACAGCTCTTGAAAACCTTTCATAGGCTGCGGCGTCATACTCACTCATTTGGATCTCCTTTAGCCTGAAACCAGAGGGTGACAGACGACGCCAGCTTATGCCATGTTTATGTGAGCCTTTTACACTTGCTTACATACTGACACAACTGCAAAAACTTCTTGGTTACTTATACTGACATTGAGAAAAAAAAGAGAGAGATGACGTCATTAGTGATGTCCCTAGAGTCAAAGCACAGTAACGCCCAAAGTGCACTACCGGTAACTGATGAACAAACTGTCCCCCAGGACAAAGGAAAAAGCCCCGACTTTTATCTTTATCTATATCCATATGTGCTGACTTCTCTCAGGCTAACAGTCTCGCCAGGCGGCTCACAACTACCTGTAACTGCAGCTCCAGGGGACCTGATGCCTTCGGGCCTCAGAGGGACTTAATTACAAATAAAAGTATAAAACAAAGCACAGCCACTTAAAGCTACTCCTAAGTGAATGTCCTTGGGCTTTCCAATGTGATCGCCATAGTGCACTAATTTAACACACATTTTCATGGATGTCTATAAATAGTAAAGGTGCTGATACCAGGACAAAAAAAGAAGGAACACATATCTCAAAAGCCTAAGCATGACACAATCTTGTTAATATTTTTTGTGCATGTGTAGACATAGAACCTATATGTATAGCTGAAATTATATATAAAGTATATTCATATTTGAGAAGAACCTCAAATGAGAGAAAATGAATGGTTTCTATTTTTTCTTCACTGGGAAAAACAATCAGAATGGTGGAGGCTCCTGTAGGTATGTATGTAGTGAGAGCACACCTTTCTTTTGAGTCCTCAATACTCAGCACGGTGCCTGGTACACCAGGCTGACAACAACGCATGCTCTTGTGTGAAACGCTGAAAGCACTGGCTATCAAAAGGTAAATACAGACAAGGCCACGCTAACAGCCAAATGCCACCCCCTCAAGGTGACACACCAAGATGCCCTTCTGTATCCTATTAACTCCCTGTTCTCAAGAACAAAAAGGAATGTGTGTATGAGATTTCTCCTAACAATGTCACTTCTGTTTAGTTTTGATAATCTCTGACTTCTCTATAAATTTCGTTAGGTTAGGTTATACCTGAAGCAGAATTTGGGCACAGTGAACCGTGATGGATATGCCACATGCCCGCTCCATGGGCTTTCTCTAAGGATTCAGATGAGTACTGACTGCGAAAGTGAACCGAGCTTGTCCTGGAGCAGGGTTGAGGGAAAAGAGCCAGAAGAGGGAGTGAATACACACAGAGAAGAGGACTCAGAGAGCACAGTGGCCTTTGGAGAGATCAGAATCAGCTTTAACTATACAGCTATCTCTGGGGTGATCGTCTTGCACCCCTAAACATCACATGTGGATTTAATTATGAGGCAATCTGGAAGCTGTATTTCAGGTTATGTCAGCCTTCACTAGAAGACTCAGAGGACGCTCACAGTGGCTATGTCCTGAACTTTGAAGACTGAAGCGGGGAACTCTAAGCCTCCCCTTGCAGATATTCTCTGGACCCCTCCAACTACCTGAACATACATTTTTCTGCTTCCTTTCCTCTGAGCAAAGCTGTGGGGTGCAGCTGCCCCACCTCCTGGAATCACTGTGGACAAAGTGCATGCTGTAGGCCTGGGACATGTTTGAAGGGTGTATTTATCATTATGTAAGAGTCTGGGAATCCGAGTCCTTATTTTACTTTTTCTATACGTTAGACTTAAATACTATAATTTGGATCCAAGTATGAGGAAAGCAAACACAAGCTGAGATCTACTGTGTGCAGCTCACTAGTTATGCAAGTGACGGTGGGTACAGCTTCCACAGCAGTTAGTTGTTCACCAGACAGCTTTTCCACATTTGCACAAACACTCACTTGACGGTGACATTTCGGGATGTGATCTACAAGTGTCCCTCTGTAAGTCAGCCTTAAACTGATTGGTTCCTGATGCGCAGGGCTAATACCTGACTTAAATCAATGCTAACTGAATGCTGTGAATGATGCGAGGAACCCATTGGTCACATTAGGTCCTTTGTACCAGGGAAGACTTCTAAGGAATGTGAGGACTGCTGAGTCCCAACCAGGACTGACAGGGAATGCCATACAGGCAACCCCCAGATCCATAGTCTTCATCGCTGTAGAATTGCTTCTCTACGAAACAAACAGAAGAGAACTGAGTATTTAGCGGGACATGAACCAGTCCACCATAGACACCAGGACAAGTACTTACAGGTGATAACCGGTCCCTGCATGCATACATGTATTATTTTATTCTCTGTGAGTGTTTGCTCCACCTCCAGGTTCTGTCCTCATGGAACTTACAGCCAGAGGGGAGAAGCAACTACTCACTCCAGTGCTAAGATGGGAGAGCGTGGTCACCGTGTTGGAGACAAGGTACAGGTGCTGTAAAAGCATCAGGACCTGACCTCATTGTGCGTATGTCTCATTCTGTAATCAAAAGTAATCTGATGATAGTAAAAACCTATTGCTATAAAAGTTGAGTTTATGTATAAGGCTTAAATGTGGGTTGGTGCGATTTTTGTCTTATTTTAGTTCTTATGTGTAGAGATACAGTCTGCAATGCTTATGACAAGATCAGATAATAGCTTGCATTAGCTTCAAAAGAATGCAGAGCAGAGAATGGGAATGGTATTGGGGGCAGAGGCCCATAATAAAAAGTTAAGACAAATTTCTGGTACTACTAAGCAGATAACTCATCACATGGGTTGCAAGACCCGTTTCTAAAGGAGCATTTTCTCCTTTTGCTGTGTTGTCTTTGCCAGGATCTCTGTGTTTTATTTCTTCCCTTTCATTCCCTGCTGTGCCCTCCCTCTCACATTTTCTGGTATTCTCTTTGGCTGAGCTCTTCTCTTCAGGCCTGGAGGGTTCCCCTCCCACTCCCTTCCCCAGACTCTTCCCCTCTCCTGTAATCACTATGTTCAGTTGTCTTAGGATCACAGGTGACCCTTGGTCCCTTTTCCTGTAGGTTCTTAATAGTGTCCCACTCGGCTTTTATTCTAGTGGCAATCAGAGAAGAGGTGGCTTAATTGCGGTTCAGTGCTGCAGTGAAGGCACAGATCCACGCAGGCAAACTCAGACTGGATAATCACATGCAAGGGCCAGGGCAATAACAGCCATTCACTAATTGAAGAGGAGAATGATGCATGCCTAATTATTTTTTTCTTAAAGGAAGCTTTATTATTCATATGAAACGTTGAGCAATATTTTAGTTCTAATAAGACTTTGTTATGACATAATGTCCCTCCCACAGTTTTTGAGAAATTACTGCTACTTTGATCCCAAAAGAGTTAGCCACCTTCCCCACCTCTCTTAGAAGGGTGGGGGGAGCCCCCCACCTCCACGGAGTGCAGTGTAGCACAGTGGGGACAGAGTAGGTGCCCGAAGCCCGAGGCAGGCCAGGGACCAGGCAGAGGGCAATGCCCATGAGGGGCAGGCACGCGTTGTTTACCTGCTGTACCCACGTGCATCCTGAGGCTTGCAGGACATCCCAGCCTGCGGGTGTGGCAGGCTGGACCTGCATTCTGTCTCTATTGTTCTCTGCTGTTTACTTGTAGGACGTGAAAGCACGGCATGTAGTAACATACCAGATGTTCTACGTGGGAGGAATTTAGTAACTCACACACACTTGAACACGTTTTCCTCTAGCTGTCCCAGCTCCTCCACCGAGCACAGAAATGCAAACCTGCTCCCCATACCTACAAGGTCCCTCAGTTTGAAAGGGTGTTAGCTGCTGCTTTGTCATCTTTTCACTTTTACTGAAGAGCGCATGTGGACATCTAGTGGAATATTCTGTGGGGGCCAATCAGAGAAATCCAAAGCAGCCGGGGTGCACCTGAAGCCTGAAGGCTCACTCGGCTTGAGTTTCCAGGCTCACCCTGATGACAAGCCTCTTCACCCAGGTCCATTTCTCTCGACAGCTGTTCCAGGCAGACAAGCTGGTGCTCTCCGCCACTGAAACCTGCCATTCTGTCACTGCTATCTGCCCGGGTGATTCCTTTTTACGTTTTCTTTTCTGGAGTGTTCTAGCCCTTATTGCCAAATCCCAAATGAGTACAGGCTTTGTCTCATGTTGGCCCAGATATCTGCTTTTCTCCATTTCATCCTAGGACATAGTCCTTGCAACTTTAGCTTTGCCTGTGTGTGTGTGTGTGTTGTGTGTAGGGGGTGGGAGATCACATACACACACTAGTCACCTGTGCTGCTCTAGATGCACAAGGCACACTCACCTCTGCTGAAATGCTCTCTGTGCCATCTCTCTTGCAGCTCTCTTGACATGCTCAGGAACTGCATCTTTCTCGACCTCAGACACCTGGTACACTGGGTGGCCTGCATCCAAGCGATAAGGGCCTCCTTTGCCACCAAGACCTGCCGTGTCTCTTCCCCCTGGAAAGAAGACAAGGGGACACAGCCATGTATGTCTAGAACCTGGCCACAAAACAAAAGTCAGACCATGGCTCTAAGCTGGTTCTGTGAGGAATATTAATTGAACTAACTAGTAATGACCACTTCAAACCACCTTTGCCTGAACACAAAGATACTCCTGTTCAGGGTAACTTTTCCCGTATGTTAAGGTTCAGTCCAAATTCAATTAGGACTTTATCTGGTGTCTCTGCCTCGCAGGGATCAATGGTTTTGTGTACTGTTTGCAGCCCTTTAATATTTTTCTTATCAGTTGTACAACAGCTGGGATAGCTTTGTTTTTCTACGCTAGACGAGCGGCTTCACCACAGTGGCTGTAGATACTAACTAAAGGGGCAGCTCTTTTTCTAGTTACCTGCTTTCCCTAGAGCACCGAGACACTTAAGTTATAGATGAAATTTCTTTTGTTTTGAAAATACTAAAAACGATTCACGGCTGGGCACGGTAATCTCAGCACTTGGGGAGGCAGAGGCAGGCAGATCTCTATGAGGCCAGCCTGGTCTAGAAAGTGAGTTCAGGACAGCCAAGGCTACATAGAGAAACCCTGTCTCAACAACATATATATTTAATTCAGAGAGATTAAATTACTTCTTTGTGACCTCATATCACTTACTTAGCCAAGAGTCAAAGTCAATTACTGTGTAGATTTTGGCTTTCACCTTTGAATAATATACAACACATAAACATCATTAGCTTCAGATGCTTTTTTCAATATAAGCCCAAGCTTGCATGCCTGTAAGTACATGTCATGGAATGCTGCATGAGCTGTTTATACTAAAATGAAAGTTAGATGCCTATGATGCCAGGTACAGTCTTATAAAGTGATAGAGACGTTGGCAAGTTACAGAGGAATGCTTAATATATGTTCAAATTTAAATTATTTTAAAGCACCGTATTGACCAAAGAAAATATGTCCACCTTAATGGCTACATCTAGCCTTTGAATGAATGATTTATTATCTTTGCTCTTAGATAACTAGCAACTAGGTCCCTTTGTTTATCGACGTGTGACATGGGAACTTGAGAGGCAGTGACACTGCACCGCCAGCCGAGCACAGAATTGCAAGCCAGCTGCATAATTAGGATAGAATGCCCGAGTTTGAGTCTGGCCTCGACTCAAGAGCTGGGTCATCAGAGAACTTACTCAACTGTTCTGTGTCTTGGTGCTCATCGATAGCACGGGATGGCAATTCCTGCCTCATGAGAGTTCCACAGAGCTGGGCTGTTTGGGGATGTGTCTGGCGTGCAGTAGGCACTATGTAAGTGACTGCCCTTGGATAATCATTTGGTTCAGGGACACAGAGAGTGAGGTCATTTCTAGATTCATATGGTGGAAAATTGGAAAGCTTTTAGACTTTGGATAAATTATGTTACTCTCCACCATTAGAGCTTTGATTTGTCTAATAAACGAAAAATGAGAACTTGGCATGAACTCCTGGCCTTATACAAGTCCAGGGAGGTCATTTCCTTTGGGCAAACATCCGAGACTAGTAACATCTATTAATCACAGAATCTTAGTCTTTTGATCGAGCATGTCTTACTTCATTTAGAAGTGGAGGGTGGAAGGCTGCTGCTACAGGGCGCTGACTCCTGCTCTGCACTGCCAGCAGGTGTGTGGTGGAGAGGAGCGCTGGCAGGCAGTGACAAGGTGCTGAGGGCAGAGAGCCGTGGCCTGACCCACTCCAGGCTGGAGGTTCTCCTTGAGCATGCGTGGAATGGGACCTGCGCATACTGCTTTCAACCACCCAGAGCCAACATTTTGGGGAGAGGAGAAACGAGGGATCCACAACTGTCAGAGAGATAGTGTGAGTGTGGTCAGAACGGGTGGCATGGCTCCTCAGGAGTGTCAGCTGGGGTGGAGAGGGCATGTGGAGAGAAGACTTCTTTTTCTCTGATCCACAGTTCTGAATTCATGTTATTTAAATGAAAAAGGCTTACAGCTGAACTTGGACTCACACCAACCTCTCCATAAGACAGCGGTGGGAGTACAGTGGGAAGAAAACACTGTGATGATGTAAAGGTCCAGATGACTTGCCAGCCCAGAGCAAGGTTTAAAGTAGAGAATTCTGAAGGGGACAAAGGACAGGCAGGAAAAGACAAGTTGAAGTCCAGAGCTGTGATCAGCTGGAAGATCCAAGGCTGGGACGCAGACAGGACGTTTGGTCTCAGTAGGTGCTGGAACTAGTAGACTCACATTTAACAAGTGAAACTCTGCCTCTGTGTAGGCACAACTGGGAAGCCAACATCTGGCCAGCTCGTTCCACGACGCATTCCATATGGATTAAATATTGTTGGCTTGACACTAACTTCCAGATCAAAGGACACTTCTAAAAATAGCCTTTCTTTAAAGCTGGTGCTTGATGAATAAACAGAATAGGCAAGAAGTCCTGGGCTTACTTGATAGCATATTGTCTCAGCACAGAAACCCATTTCCTGCTGAGGTCTTCAAGGCCAGGAGGCTTAGACCATCCTAGGGGAAGGTGAGGGCCCGAGCTGTGCCAGCACTTCTCCTGGCTGAGGGAGCCAGACAGTGCGCAGTCTGGCCCTGTTCCTGTGGGCCAGCACATGTGTCTGCTGCAGCTGCTGGGAGGAAAAAGGAAGACGGCAGCTCGGGAACAATGGTCTAGAGGGCAGCCAAGAGGAAGGAATGGCACCCAGCCATCAGGGCAAACCACACCAACCTTATCTCCAAACCGCGTACCTCCACACTCCCCCTTCTCAGATGTGGACAAGAGCTATTTCTTCCCTGGCTTAGTAGTTCAAGAGCTCGCTATAGATTTCTGGCACAATTCCAAAGGCAAGAAATGGAAAAGAAGGGATGAGCGCACCAATGACTCTGTTCTTTGGCCCATCCACTGTGCTCCATGCTCAAATTCAAACCAAGTTAATCTTTAGCATGGCCTCGTGAAGCAACTACAAGGCAGGGGGTGAGTTTTAGGTCATAGTGGCAGAGTCTGTGGGGTTCCCAATGCCAGGCTTTCTGTATGTCTTGATGTCATGCAGTGGCAGAGGGAGAGGCTGAGAAGGACAGCTATCGCCTGGGCTATCTCAGGGGTGGCATGCCGGCCTGACGGACTCAAGAAAACTTGTGAAGACCCAGGAAAATGTCTGTGCTACCAACCTGTTCCGCCGGCCCACGTGTTGCCGCCCACATGGGGCGTATTGTCTGGGTCCTCCTTGCCGTGCTTAGGGGCGCTCACGTCTTCGTCACTGTCTCTTTCAATCGTTATCTGAAAAGGAAGAGTTGAACCACTATCACTATCCTGCGAGCATCAGGTGCTGCATGACTGACAGAACTGTGTCCCTCTCAGCTCACGAGAGGCTGGGTCATCACAGCCAACATCCATTTGGTTGGGAAGGAAAATTAGTTTATTAAAAAGAAGTTCTTCGAAAAGAAAAGAGCAGGAGCTGAGCTGAGCTGTTTCCAGCTAGAGAGTTCTGACACAGAACATGCTCTGAACATTTATGGAAGGACTTTGATCCACCAGAAACAGGAACACGGATCCAACCATTTTCCCAATGGGTTAAAGAGACCGGAGCCTCACTGATCTAGCCAAGTCACCACATACGCATCAACCCATTTCCTTCTCAAAGATTATTTGAGCAATGTCACTTTATAAAAATGAAATCTGAAAAACAAAAATCAGAAAATATATAGACACATGCAATAGATCTATTTCACATACTCACATATATTAAAAATTGCTTATTTTTTTTTTAGATAGCTGAAATGTTATCATATTGTTTCCTAATTAACCTGTTTTTTCAGACTGTATTTATGATTTGTGGGATTCAAATAAGTGACGTTTCAGCTCTACCTGTGACTGTTTGCATTTGCTTTTCATATGCCCTCCAAAGTTCTTTCGTTATTTTTAAATGACATGCCAGGACACGCACATGTGCATTCCTGCCCAAGTGAGGAATGGTGATCAGAACTGTTCACCCAATAAACTACAGACCATTTCTTGAACTTTCGTGGCCATCTTGGCCAGCACCGACAGCTGTGACTGATTCAAGGAGTCCCAATGTGGAAAATAAGCCAACGGAGTGGTGTTTCAGTCCAACCCAGGTATGGCTAAACAAGAGAGAGACCAGTTTGCTTATACAGACTTTGAGTCTTCCAGCAGCTCACTCTAGAAGCACAGTTCTGGGACCTGGGGTACGGCTTACCCTGTGTGCTCACATAAGCACTCCATTCAGATCTCACTCTTGCCAGCCACTTTAGCCAGTGGGTGGCTTCAGGCTCAGTGGGGGACCTCGTTTCAAAAAAAAAAAAAAAGTTGAAGGGTTGTCCTAGTGGAGGTGTCTGCTGCTGTGACACTGTGACCAAGACACCTTGGGGAGGAAGGGCTTTACTTCATCTTTCAGCTTAGGCCATCAGGGAAAGAAGTGGGGGCAGGGATTTGAGGCAGGAACTGAAGCAGAGACTCTGGAGGGATGATGCTTGGTGGTTTTCTCCCAATGGCTGACTCAGCCTACTTTCTGTTTCCACCCAGGCCCACCTACCTCAGGGCAGGCAGCACCCACAGAGGGTCCTTCCACATCAATCACAAATCAAGAAAGTGCTCTACAGACTGGCCTGTAAGCAGTCTGATAGAGGCATTTTATCAATTAAGGTTTCTATCCCAGGTAACTCTAGCTTGTGCAAAGTTGATAAAACAACAACAAAAAAACTAACCAGGATAATTTATCCCTCATCAATGTGACACATCAATACAATACTATTCAGTTGTAACTTTTCTTGTTTATCCCCAAGATCTCATCTTAGTATCACAATATAAAATACAGTATAACTTCAAAAGCTCCCAGTTTTTTTTAAAAAATGCAAACGCCTGAAAAGTCTGTTGGAAAGTTGAAAATCTCTCAACTGTATGCTCCTGTAAAATAAAAACAGGCTACACACTTCTTGTTCTAAGAGGGAAGAATACGCACATTTACAGCCCAGTCAAAGAAAAACAAAATCTGTAAAGAGCTCCGTGTCCACTGGCTCATGATCCTATGGGCTCTAAAGGGCTTGGGTAGTTCCACTTCTCTGGCCCTGCCCTGCACAGCACATGAAAAGTTTGGCTCAGGCCAGCTCCTCTCCACCAATCCACACCTACTGCCATTCTTGGTGGTCCTGGCATCTCAGATATGCTGGGGTCTCCACAGGCTTCATCTTCACCAATGGCCTCCTGGCCTCTCTTTAGGGACTCTGGCCTAAAGAGCCTTAGCCCCTCTCCATGATCCCTTCGATCATTCGGTCTCCACTGCAACTGAGGCTGAACCTTCACCAACGGCCTCTCTTGGCCTTTTACAGTGCCAAGTCTCAGCTGCTTTCCATGACTCCTTCACAGCTACAAAACCAGTACCACCTGGGAGACTTGCTTACATGGCCAGGTTCAACTGCCTGCAAGCAAGGCAGCCAGCCCTCCTCTCTCCTCTCTAGACCATACCTTCTGTGTGCTAACTCTGGGGAAACGTTCTCAAGAGGCTGCACCTCAATGAAGCTGGTGTCTTTTCATCCCCAGCTGACCACCATCAACTGTCCCAGTAAAGCTTTCACTTCAGTGGTACAGGTCTCTTGTGGGTTTTTTTTGTTTTTATTTTTTGTTAATTACAGTTTATTCCCTTTGTATCCCACCTCTAGCTCCCTCCTTCTTCCCTCCCAATCCCACCCTTTCTCCCTCTTCTCCACTCATGCTCCTCCCCCAGTCCACTGATAGGGGAGGACCTCCTCCCCTTCCATCTGATCCAGTCTCAGATCTCATCAGGAGTGGCTGCATTGTCTTCTTCTGTGGCCTGGTAAGGCTGCACCACCCCCCCCACACACACCCAGAGGGAGGTGATCAAAGAGCAGGCCAGTCAGTTTATGTCAGAATCAGTCCTTGTTCCCATTACTCGGGAACCCACTTGGACATTGAGCTGCCATGGGCTACATCAGTGCAGGGGTTCTAGGTTATCTTCATGAATGGTCCTTGGTTGGAGTATCTGTCTCAGAAAACACCCCTGTGTCCAGATTTTTTGGTTCTGTTGCTCTCCTTGTGGAGCTCCTGTCCTCTCCAGGTCTTACTATCTTCCCTTTCTTTAATAAGATTCCCTGCACTCTGCCCCAAGTTTGGCTATGAGTCTCACCATCTTCTTTGATACTCTGAAAGGTAGAGTCTTTCAGAGGCCCTCTGTGTTAGGTTCCTGTCCTGTTCCCTGTTTTCCCCCTCTCCTGATGTCCATCCTCTTTGCTTTTCTGAATGAGGATTGAGTATCTTATCCAGAGTCCTTCTCCTTGCTTAGCTTCTTTAGGTGTACAGATTTTAATATGTTTATCCTATATTATATGTCTAATATTCACTTATGAGTGAGTATATACCCTGTGTATCTGTCTGCTTTTGGGATACCTCACACTTTGTTATTGGTTCCCTATACTTAGTGTAATGCTTTCCAATATGTAATATGAATCAGTTCATTTTTGTGACTGAAAATATTCTACTGAATTGACCATAGTACATTTTACTTATAGTATTTAAATTGGTGGATATTTGGATTCATATAGACAGACAGATATAACAGTGTTACATCTTTTCTAATTAACTTAATCACTTTACATCCTTGTAGTAGCCCCTCCTTCCTCTCCTCCTGTTCCCATCCTCCCTCTCTCTTACTCCCTCCACTTACCTTATTCCTCAGAAAAGGTCTGCCCTCTATACTCAGCCACACCAGCTCATTAAGTAGCATCAAGACTGAGTGCATCCTTTTTTACTGTGGCCTGGCTAGAGAGCCCCACCAGGGTAGGAGTGATCAACAAGCAGGCAACAGAGTCCATGTCAGAGACAGCCCCACAGGTCTCTTGCTAATCCAGCTGATTCTTCAGTACCAGACACCACTGATTCTCAATTCAAAATACATCACATGAAGAGTCTAATAACAATCTTTGAAGGATTGACAAATTCCTCTCAGAATTTAAGCAAGGCCCCCATCACCCACAATGCTCTCAGCATTATTTTTCTAGTTCTATGACAGCATATTAAGCTCTTTCACTCAATGGCTATTCCAGCCCAAAGTTCTAAACTCATTCCACAATCCTGCCAAAAACAACATTTTCAGATCTGTCATAGCAACACCCCATGAACATGGTACTGATTTCTCTCCTAGTAACGTTTCTGCTGCTGTGACAACATGAAAAAAGCAATTTGGGGAGGGGTGGCTTATTTCCAGGTCACACTCCAGTGTAGGAATCTAAGGCAGGAACTCAAAGCAGGCACAGGTCTAGTGGAAGAACTGTTTCTGATACTAGCCTTCACTTTGGATTGCATGTGTCCTTTCTGGTTAGTTGTTTATTTTAAAATAAAGGAAGAGGCAAGAAAAACAAATTCCCATGTGACAAGAGGCTTCACTTTAATCCAACATTAGCTCTCTCCTGCATACAATGCATACAATCTAGACAGTCTGCTGAGAATTAAGTACTAAAAAGATGACAAGGCAAAAGAGGCCCCTCTAACAGCCTGCTCAGGAACCCTCAAGTCATGTTTTTGATATTCCAAGGATGCTTCTAATGGCTATCAGTGAGGCGGATAGTTGGGCTAATTGCTTTGGGCAGAAAGGAGTGGCATGTTCTTTGCCACCACCAAGTGTTATCAAGGAAGGGGATCTGTTCACACCGCCCACAAGCAAGCCTCATACCAACTCAAAAGGAGACATTTCAAAATAGGCCAGTTCTCCACAGAACCAGCCACCAAACCCGATTCATTTCACAGAAACACATACCGTGAAATTCCAGGGATATTTAATTAGAAGCAGGGCATCTGCGGAGTTTATCTAACTTGGAATCATCTTATAAATGCCAGTAGTCTCACTCACAGGAGCCTATTTCTGTAGGTGGAGCAGGGCAGCCAGCTGCTCTTGCAGACAGAGGTATGCCAAGGGGCACTGGCTGCTGAGAAAGCAGATAATCTCCTGCCATCTTTCATGAATGTGCTAGAGTGCAGCTGAAAGGCGTGTCCCCCGAGAACTGGGCGCATCTACCAGAAGCACAAGCAAGTCACTTCAATGAGTGAAATACACACTGCTGAAGTCATACAAGGGCGAGGGGGACCATTTTCACAAACCAGAAAACAGTCCCTCATAATTTTTGGTATAACTCAACACATGCTAAATCCCTTGACATATTTCTCACAGCGGATGTACTTTAATTCCTACTAGGGAAGTGTGATATAATCCTAAGAACCATTATCCTCCTACATATGAATTAAATGGA